TTTTTTTTTTCTGTTTAGAAAAACAGACAAGCAAGCTATGTCCAGCATATAGTCTGATATCCCACAGACAGATGGAGAGAGAAGAGATAGAGAAGACACTGAGGGAAGAAGGGAGAGGAGGAAGGAGGAGATGGAGAGGGGAGGGGAGAGAAAGGACACCTGTCCACAGAGGAAGGAAAGATGGAGTGGTCGCTGGGAGAGAGGCAGCCAGGTACAAAGAAGTGCAGAGACCTGACTAAAGGAAACTTTTCCTGTCACACCCTTGGGTCCCCGGGCTGCAGGTGCCCATTTGGGGAACTGCTGCCCTCTGAAACTGAGTGACCTTACGACTGTGCTTCCCAGTCTTCTTAACTAAACCCTCTGATCTGATTAGAAAGATAATCACCAGCCTGCAGGGGGACATATGAGGAAATTTTCCTCTGGGCCACGAAGACAGTGGCCTGAGCACATTCACTTGTGAGCCACACAAAACTGAGCTGAGAGTCAGATCCAGATCCAGGGCCGAAGTGTCCCCGTAACAGACAGTAATCCTGGCCCGTGACCTTTCACAGCAGCTTACCTCCTCAACCATCTGTTTGACTTTCTTCTGCTGGCAATGCACCATGTCGTCTAGGTGTCTGATCCGTTCCCGGAGGCTGGCAGATGCCTCCTCCAGCTGCTGATACCTGACCGAAAGAGAGCAAAGAGGCACGGAGTCCTAAACCAAAGCAGCAACACCAGCAAGGAGAGTCACACCGCCCAGGGAACACTGGCAGAACAAGAACGAGAACTCCATCATGCATCGTGTCTCCTGGGGATGAACGAGGGCTTGACTACCCTGCTACAGGAGGAACCATGGGACTCTTTCTCAAGCTCCCACTTGCAAGTTTTACCTTGTTTAAGGACAGTGACTCTACTTTCCAGGGACTAAAACAGATATTTTTTTTGCACCACTTACAGAATGAGGGGCTCTCTGTTCTGGAACTAATACAATATTGGAAGATCCAATAAAATGCCTTGATTCAGACAACGGAGGAGGAGAGGAGTCTAGTATGCAGAACACAATATCTGAAATCAAGTGGCCGAATCCTGGGAAGCCTGGAATTGTAGTCTTCCACACATCATTTATTTTGGGAAAATGGGGAACATGTTGAAGGATTTTCTCTGCATCAAAACAGATTGGGCTGCATCATAAAACATTTCATAGTTTTGTTTTAAAACAGCACAAACTGGGGCGCCTGGGTGGCTCAGTCGGTTAAGCATCTGACTCCTGGTTTCGACTCAGGTCATGATCTCGCAGTTTGCGGGTCTGGGTCCTGTGTCGGGCTCTGAGCTGACAGTGTAGAGCCTGCTTGGGATTCTCTCTCCCTCCTCTGCCCCTTCCCTACTTGCTTTCTCTCTCTCTCAAAAATAAAGTTTAAAATAAATAAATAAATAAATAAATAAATAACCAGCACAAACTATCTTCTGACTTTGCTCCATTCAATGAAACCAGAGGAACCAGCAGGCAGACGCCTCAGTTCTTCGGGGCCACTGGAATGGAGCACTGGACAAAGGGTCTGGTGGGGTTTGCTGACCACTACAGCACTCTGCCGGGTCCCTCCTCAGCACTACGTTCAAATCTACAGCAGAGTGCAAACTGTGAAGTTGCCAAGAGGCAAGAAAACAGATGTTTTTTGGCGTGTACCATATGGCAGGCAGCATGCCCACCGGCTCCCTCACTATTAATGACCCCATAAGATGGGCACTGCCATAGTCACCGCAACCCCCTCCCCTTTAAAAAGAATTCTCAGTTTACAGATCGGCAAAGAATCTCAGCTAAGTTAAGTAACTCGTTCAAATTGCTCAAATCATCTCCACTCGTTTTCCTTCACCAGAGGGCCATGCATGTCCTCTCTGCCTTCTGATTTCTAGAGGGGACCAAGTCCTGCTCCCTCATTTTCCATGCAGGGCTTTATACGCCCATAGCCAGGGGACGAGGGAAGGTCTGAGTCAACAATGTTTGGAGTCCAAAAAAGGCATTTTAAAATTAGTTTCCACTGCAATAGTATTAGTCACAGCTACTGAGTTTTCTCATCAACAAGGTGCATCCTGTGGAGTCAAAGGTTACAAAGAACATTTATAGACTGAACTTTTGCACCCAAGACAGTCTGTGGTGTGCTCCCCCCGTGCTAACAATCAACCGCAGGCTGGAAGACGTGGCTGTGAGCTACTGAAGAAACTGGCCCTGCAGTGGAAGCTCTCAGGCCAAGATTTTACAAACAGAAGTCTGCAGCAGGGATGGCCAAATGAAGGAAAAGGCGAGGAACTGGAGACCCCACAGAAACACAGCATGGCTGCCCCAGCGTGTAAAGCCAGTACAAGATAAAGGGCAGCGGTCTTACCTTTCCTTGTCAGAACCAGTTATTTCCCCTGACATTTCTGTTTCATGCTCCAGGAGCTGTAGCTGTAGTTGATGGCGTTCCTAAAACAGACACCGACATTGGAATCAATGGATTCCAGGCTGGACAGGGAATGTGTATTGAGCAATTCCAGCGCTGGTCAGTTCAAGTTCCCTGTGGGATTTCCACATCCACTCACCAGAGTCCAAACAGAGCTCAAAAATACCAAATCTCTTGGATTGCATTTACAGATGTATTTGTGAATTAGAGACAAATATGCTGGAGAAAGCCAGATTTATTCTTTAAAAAAGGAACCCATCAACTTAGGTTCAGGTATCTTGTGAAAATTTACAGTTCTAAAATATGAGAATCAATACTCTGAAGTCAGTGTCCTATGATATTGCAAAATACTTGATTATTTTCTGCATTATCAAGAAAAGAGTCTCTGGGATTTGGGTAACATCCTATACAGTAAGCTGGTGGGGTTTATACAGGTATGTATGTTCAGTTGTACCAATGTACTGTGGTAGTCAAAATAACGGATGGCCACCCAATGATGTCCACATCCTAATCCCTGAAACCTGTGAATATGTTGCCTTACACATAAAAAGGAACTTGCAGATGTGATTAAGTTAAGGGTGTCAAAATGGGGGAATGATTCTGGATTATCCAGCTGGGACCTTATTGAAGGAGGAAGAAGGGCTGGAGACAGAGATTGGAAAATGCTACACTGCTGGCTTGGAAGATGCCAGCTACAGCCCTCAGTCAAGGAATGCAGGCGGTTTCTAGAAGTTAGAAAAGGCTAGGAAAAAGCCTTTTTTTTCCTAGGTGGCTCAGTCAGTTAAGCATCCGACTTCAGCTCAGGTCATGATCTCACAGTTGGTGAGTTTGAGCCCCACGCCGGGCTCTGTGCTGACAGCTCAGAGCCTGGGGCCTGCTTCGGATTCTGTCTCCCTCTCTCTGCCCCTCCCCTGCTCGCGCTCTGTGTCTCTCTCAAAAATAAACAAACATTAAAAAAAAAATTTAAGTTTATCCAGAAAGGTAACATAAGAACACGGACAATTATTTGTGTGGACAAAGTAGAAAATGTTGACAAAATCGTAGCATCCATCATAACCAAAATTGCTCTAAATACATTACAGATGTTAGTGTAACAGATTTCCTTAAAATGAAATTTATCAAATTCTGCTCATGCTATTGGGCCCTAAGTATTACTGTGCCTCATCGTTATTCTCAGAGATTCTCCCAACAAGTTTTTACCACCAAATTATTAAAAGCAAATCTTTGACAATCTAACTCCCATAACTTCTGATGCCACAAGCTGTGATACCCAAGGAACAGACCAAAGAGATGGGGGAACAGCCCACTCTGGCAGGAAGACCGTATTATCACTGACGGATAAAAGAAGACCAACTTCGGGTGGGGTTTTGATTTTGTTTTTAAATCTCTCCAGCAGGGCACCTGGGTGGTTCAGGCAGTTAAGCAGCCAACTTCAGCTCAGGTCATGATCTCATGATTCATGGGTTCAAGCCCCACGTCAGATCTTCTATCACCCTCTCTGTCTGCCCCTCCCATGCCCTTGTATACACTCTGTCTCTCAAAACTAAGCATTTTGTTTAAAATAATCAATCAATCTCTCCTGCAAAGACCTTCTTACCGCCCACCTGGGCAGAATGCTCCCCTAGTCTCATATGGTTGCCTGCTGGCTGGAAGTTTACATAAGCCCTGAAATAATAGTGAGAGATGTCCCACGAGTGAGCCCCCCAAGGCAGACTCAAAAAAAAAAAAAAAAAAAAAAGCTGTAATAGAGTCAGGCTTTTCTAAACTGATGTACAATAAATTTTAAGTCAACACTATGCGACAAGTTCTTACATTTGTATCTAACTGTGAAACCACCACCCAAGCACAGAATGTTACCTTTTCCACAGCAGGGTCCCTGAGAGATCACACCCCTTAAAAGATTTCTACTAATCAGAAAAGAAAGGTGTTTTGAAAATCCAAAAATAGGAGCAAGCAGGATATGACACTGCCACAGTTCATGCCTGTGGACATGCTGTTCACATAGTGTGTGAGAGAGATTTGGCACAATTCCCGCTCTGAAAGAGGTACCCCTGAGGGAGGAGGAGCAGTCAATTGGAATACCTAATCCCAGCTAAATAAAGCTAGCATACCTCAAGCCTAAATGGAAAAGAAGATTTAGAAAAAGAACAAATCTTTTTCTGCCAGAAAAAGGTGACAGGACTTGAGGAACATCATGTGTCACATAAATGCTGACAGGGCCGGCCGGCCTTACCACCTCCCCTGGCCTCCCGCCCATTGCTTCTCACACAGGCTCCATGTGGAAATCAGTGGGGAAAAATGCTGGACACTTTCAGAATCCCAAGGGTACAAAGAAGATAAGCCAGGGGCGCCTGGGTGGCTCGGTTGGTTAAGCGTCCGAC